GTGACTATCAGGCCCAACCCGTCTGCTATTCATCACACAAATGTATGTGAAAAAAGACATTCGGGTGTGATTCTACTAGCCGTTTGTTGATCAACACTTTAAAGTGTTTTTCTGCTCTTTGCCTAAACTGTCGCTCAGTTCTACTTAAGTAGGTGGTCCAGCACCCACAGGCGAATTGGTAAATTGATGGGATTTTGGATACTGCAAAAGCGGTTCCATAGATGGAGGAGCCGGTATTTGATCGCATGTGTGAACGAAAAGTGGTTTGACTCTGTTGAATGTTCATTGGATGAACGAGCTTAAGTAGTGCTCCAACAAGGTACTCACGCTATCACCCTTGAACAGTATTTGTAGAACGACCTTCCACATCCGTACGGATATCTGTCGCTCTAATTTCGAACGTTCATTGGTATACTATTGCACAAACGAGTTCAGGTAGCTTTTATCCCAGAAAGTCCAGTACGGTTTTATTATTTCATCCGTGAGTTTATCAGACGTACAAATTTCTATCACACGGCCAAAAAATGTTCTCGCTAGCCTACATTTTTCACTAATGAAGACGAAGTTGAGGGAGTGCACTTGTTGATTTTCCTGTCGTTTTTCAAAGTGCAGATCGATCAAAGCTTCCTCGTTTGTGTTTGTGAATTTTGAAGGGACAATCTGTCGTCTTCTTCATGTTTGGTCTTATGTGAGAGTGAGTAAAAATAAGACTTATTTATAAGCCCAAACACTCTACCTTCCAGTCTGTTCTGAGAAGCACATCGTCCAAATACCATGTCTCTTCGTTGGCCACCCGAATCTTTCTTTCTTCGTTATACGTTTGATTTTTACATAGCTTGCTGTTTGCTACTTCTATTGTTTTCACTTATGACTTATTCAACCGGGCCTGAATAAGTCACTATCTGTCTCTCATTCATCTGTTCGAGTCCGTTGTTCTTGCAATTCCACGCGAATCAGTAGCGATAAATAGTGATTCATTGCACTGATCAGACCCTATTTCGTAGTCCGTTTCCGGTTATTTGTCAATTCCTCTTCTTCCTCTTCGTCCACCGATTACGCAATCTAGACTCTCGCTTGAACCATCCCAATCCGTGTCTATCCTGTATACTCTCCGTTGTTTGAGCGGTTTATACATCCGGTGTTACTATAGTGTTCAGATATATTCGGTTCTCGCCGATGTTTGATTTACTTACATGTGAATGCAGAACCGCATTTGTACCAAATCTAATTGGTTGTGTTCGTTTGAGGTTGTGCATTTATCCGCAATCCGCAAAATCGGTAATTGTCGTTCCCAACGGGTAATCGTTGTCCACGGCACCCGTCCATTTCAGCATAATGCAATGAGAACACCAGTTTGTTGCAGGATAGAAGGATGCAAGTATGCAAAACCGGAATCGAACAAACCACAATGGGCTTCCAGTGACATCATGTCACTATTGACAATTGTACCGAAACAGATGACTCTGGGGGACGTCCATAAGTGACAAAAAAATGACGTTGGTCTTCCACAACGGTTGACATAATAATCAGAGGATAAAAATGTGGCGATGTGAGAATTACACCTTTTCCCATCAAGCTTTAGCCAAAACCTGCAATCCTTTATCCTCGACCCGTAATTCTTCAGCCAAAACCCGAAATGCTTTAGCCTCAACGCACAAAATTTAGTCATGCCGCAGCAAGTGAGTCAGATCAAAAAGTTCAAATTGTTGTTTGGCAAATTTGAAGTTTGTATGTGGATTGTGAAAAGTTCAGTAGCCTCGGTGGGATTCGAACGCACGCATGGATGCCTTTTTACATTGGAATGTGAAAAGATCAGAGCTATCGGTGTAGCCTCGTAGCTCAGCTGGTAGAGCATGCGCGTACAAAGCGTAGATCAAAAAGAATTGGAGTATTCTGAAATCAACGAATGTTGAGAAAAATTATTTTCTATAAATGTTGACGTTGCAAAGGTTGGTTGAGAAATGAGGTGTGACAGTTGCATGCTTCAGTACGTTGATTGGAGAAGGTTTAAATGATGTGCCCGTATCGTCAAATCATTTGACACATCTCGTACAGCTTCGGTATTTCCGTATAACCTATAACCCGATACTTTTGATCTGACTCAGCTGCTGCTGCGGGACTAAATTTTGTGCGTCGAGGCTAACGGACTGCGGGTTTTGGTTTCAGCTTGATGGGAAAAGGTGTACTTGTACACAACACATTCGCAGATCAACTACAAGGGCATACCGATAAGTACAACGTACACGGATAGAATCACTTGTCTGCTGACCGCGAAAAGGCGGGGTGATGAAATAGATTACAACCAAATAGTTTGCAAATTATTGTTTCCTACTACGAATCCGATCAGCAGGTGACATTTCCCGACACTACTATAGCAGCAACAATGGAACAGTTCCGCGACAACCCAAATGAGGCTGTTTTGGAGATGAACTTCACCCACGGGAAAGAAAACTACGCGAGACTCAAATTGTTGCCTATTTTGATCATATGAAAACCTGATAGAACACACAAATGAAACACGGTGTATAGAAAGCCAACAGTGACGGATCAAATGTTGAGCTGTAGTGAACATTCTCCTGTATATCACCTGAAAATTTCTGTGTGGATCAATCTTAGTCCGCAAGGCCGACACACATTGTGGTACACTGGAACTTTGAGGACAAGAAAAGGTCTCTTTGTTCCTGGTATTTGACACAGACGAACATGCATATGGTTGCAATAAATGCAGGTACTCAAGTCGAGTCAAGTCAAGGAATGGCTTTATACACCCCGAGAGGTGTATATTCAGCAACCACATAACCATAGTGTGTCAAAAAATACGTAAAACACAATAGTATGATACGGCAGTTAAAAGGATGTGAAAAGGGACAGCAACATCCAAAATGAGTGGCACACCTGGGTGTTCATGAGGGATTTAGTGTAGTGTTTGACGCAGATTTCCCGTAACGAGGTCTTGGTTAGTTAGAAATCTGGCGAGATAAGAAACAACAGACCGCCTGTAAGCTTCAGTGCGAGTCTTTATGAGTTTGTGAGTGGAACGGGTGGATGAGTGAGAAAGGCAGTCGCTAAGAGAGGAATAAAGAGGATGGGAGATATCAGATAATATCAACATCAGATATCAACATGCATATGTTTGTAATAAATGCAGGTACTCGTTTAGCTAGCCACATTAACCCGCGAGCCGTCGATGCAAGTTCATACATTTGGAAACCCGGAAACCTGGCAGGTTGCGAGTTAAGAGAAAGACAGAAGGTCCGAATTTTAATACCCTTCATTCCACCAATTCAATCAGTTAGTAAATCGAATTCCAACTACCGTGCGATAAATGACAAGGAGTAGACCATAGTAGAAGGACACCATGGTACCGATTATTTAACATAAGTACTTTTGATAAAGGGGCATTATTTTCACGAAGTTGATAAAATATTTTTTTATAAATTAATGCTCATTCAAAAACGTAGGCTCTTGAATTCCCAGACTTCAATTTGCTTCAATTTGCCGGTCTTAGAGTTGGCGACTACGTAATTCTGAGCAGGTCTTTTAAACTTATTTATTGCTCAAGCTGTATTTCCGAATTATGCTTGTTCAACTTTATCGCCAACAAACATTTTAATTCTTGTGAAAACTACTGAAAAACTACTGAAAACCACTATCAAACATCACTCACTCGTTACACACAGAACTTAAAGAATATGTATCCATCACCTTAACCATGTGTCTTTATAAATGTATGTATAGTCCCATCACTGACTAACGTTTGTCCGTTATTCCATATCTATCTACATTTCTGGTACAGAAGGCATTCGTCAGAGACTAAATTTTAAAAATCCTAGGTAAATGATATCCATTAATACATTTTTACGCCATCCTTCTCACCTGAAGTTATGAACCAGTCCTATTGGATTACACCGCAATAAAAAAATTACCACCTGTGCGAAACGTGCCGGAGGTCGTTAGTTGTCACTCCATTTCCCTACCAAGTCAATTGGAGTGATTCGCCCGCTGCAATCGAAACGGATTGTGTGGAATTAGAATCGACTTACATCAGCTGTCGGACCACCACCGTATTGAACTCGACGAAGCTGTTCAGCATACCGATCTCTGTCGTACCCATTTTCTCCGTCAGAAATGTTTTCTGCAAAAAAGAACAGCAGGACGACAGAATTGTCATTCAGAACATTTCACTTTCTGAATCGTACGTTACTCGTTACCCAAAGAGGAAGAGACAGACATTGTTCATATTGGTTTCCCCGAAATGCGTGCAACGTCAATATGCAGTCATGGAAACAAACTTATTCCTCTGACTATGTACATGAGCGTTTTGTAGATAGCGTAGACTGGATAAAAGAGATGAGTTGTAGCTCTTGTCATGCAGAACAATACAACTAGATATTAGGCCAAACCTTTCAACAAACAATTGAATATTCTACCTTCATTTTATTTCATTTTAATTTCATTTATTGAATACATAATGATACACTTTTCAGGAAGGGGTAATTGGTTAAACAAAGGACTACCACACATCACACAGAGGATGGGGAGAGTCAAGCGATGTTGGGGTGTTGGTGTTGGTGGAGGTGAGATTTGAACATATATTCTCCGGGTCGATAATTTGGTTACTTTGACCAACAGGTCACCACTGAGTATTTCCTTTTCAGAGATACCTTGCAACTGCTGGCATTTGACAGTATTAACTACAACATGAATAGCTTATATTGGCTAATCTCAAATTGAACCGATGCACGGTGTTTTACAAAGAAGTGAAAATCGAATTTATTCAAATCATTTTAGACATTTCGCCGTCAATGAATTTATTTATTTCGCAAAGTTCAAAACACACAATGGTCGAAATTTATACTGCTCCTTATGATCACATCGCCGTGGACTAATCGTGGAGATCGATCTTGGGGATGTCCCTTTTTAAACAGTTCAATCGCTTGATTAGTACGTACGATTTTGTGCCATATCACGTGGAAGTCGAACCTTTCTGTTGAGTAAGTTGAGTAAGTATTTAGTTCGATGTTAAACCTTCGAGATGATGCGGAATCTAGAGATTGGATTTAGACAATGATTGTGCAAAGTCAGACATGGTCGACGCGACGCTTAAAGTGCTAGATAACGCAAAGAATAGCCGAGAGTTTTCACGGTTTATTGATCTACGTACAGTTTGTCCCGTAGATGTTAGCCTAAACGTCCTTTTGTGAATGAATAACGTTTTCAAACAACTCTAAAGATTGGTGTTGGTGAATTCTTCGAGCTGGAATTGTTGTTCGCAGACGTTTGGTAGCCAAGCTAGGCAACATCATCAGCACTCGAAGTCGCACTGATGATGTTGCCTAGCTTGGCTACCAAACGTCTGCGAACAACAATTCCAGCTCAGAGAATTCGCCAACACCAATATCCGCATTCCCGGCTACAATCTCATTCCATATCATTTCCAATTCTTAAGACTACACATTTGGTCAACGCACGGTTGATATACATTGTGACAAATGGTTGATCTTTATCCAACAAATGACTAATTTTTTACCTTGTCAGGAAGAACTCTAATTATCAACCAATAAGTAGCCCACAAAGGCATAACTATAGGAAGCACCATGGCGTCCACCAGGGTACATTTTCATCTTTGAGGGATTGAAATAATTCATCAACAGCTGGATTTCTCATAAACTTAGAGTGCTTCTGTACAGTGATGTGGACCGTCCGTCGTCACTGTTTCATTCTGGTAGTCTGTTAAGCTGCCCAATCACAGTAGCCTTTGTTCAATGGTTTTGGAATAACATAAATTAGTCAGTTATGATGGAGATCCTAGTCATTTCAGCATTCGATTGTCTCTCTATTTATCTCTCTGTCTGTCTCTCTGTTTCTCCAGCTCCGGAATTGTGATCGGAGGCATTGTTAATGCTGTTGTGACATAAATAATGGTTACTTTTGCCGCCAGATTAAATTTCATTACTCGGATGCAAATTTAGGTATCAAGTCTGTAAGGCATTTCGCTTGCAAACTAGTTCCATTTGGAGGGTTTCTGTTCTCCCAAGTGATAATGGTCAGCCTTGTGAGGTAGCGATAGGTGTTCACCAGTTGGACCACTTGGGCGGAGGTGTACCACACGGTGTGTCTGACCATGATTAGTAATAATAATCTGTCAACAATGTATTGCATATTCCTAGGCACTAAATTCCCGTTTTTTGGCTACGAGTAACAGAAATCCAACGTCACCAAGTGAGACGATTGGATAGTGTCAGTAGGACTCAAACGATCATCATACTAATATTATGAGATACTACTCGCACTTGTGAGTAGTTTCCACGCACCAAAAGGCGATTATTGGAGTCCCACGGAATTCGTGAATGGAAATGCACATCTAATTTTGGACCGTTCAATTAAGTATCCACTGTGATTGTGGGATTTCTGAACACTTGTTCCAAATAGAACATTTGATTGCATGCATGTTAGTTTACTGATACCCTTACCGATTACCCTTCCTCGTCCCGGCACTACCTTGTGAATTTAAAAGACTGGCCAAATCGATTATAAAAAGCACAAGACGTTCCACGTGGGACGGTGTTATTTTAGAATAAATACTTGACCGAATTAGTCCATTGTGATTTGTAATTTTGGAAAAATCTCTTTCTCCAGAAGTTACAGTCATTTTGGTTGATCTCAAACGTTTTCGCTTAGACCAAACAGGTGCTTTGTTGACAAAATACACTGTCATTAAATGATTTGGGGAAAATCTGAGAAAAAACTGAATTTTGCGCAGAGTTATCAATAAGCCTCTGTTCATTTTACAAAGAATGTTTTAATCTGGGTCGCATATTATACGACTGAAAATCACTCACAAAATGTTAGGAGAGCGTTTTCAAAGTGTGTGAGTACTAGAATACTCAATTGTTAGAAATTAATTGGTTCAGTCCATCAAACCGACTGAAGTACACTTCGAGAAGCTGTGAGCAGTTAGCCGCCAAAAATCGTCGTCGACAAGGCAGTTGCGGTGGCTTGAATCTGGCCGTGCCCACTTAGTTATCAGGACACCTGGGCTGCTTGTGGTGAACGATTTCACCTCAGCACTGCATGACATGTTCAGCTTATGCTTTTAGAAAGATTACTAAATACATTTATCTTGTATATGAGCCATACAAAGATCCCCAGCCTCGGATGGATTCGAATTCACTTAGGAACGCAGCCCACTCTTTTGTTCACCCGAGATACGAAGCCACACACCGTTAGTAAAGACGGTGTAAGTCACTTGCATAAGTAATTTGAGTAGGATAAAAACAGACGACAATGTCACATTTACAATTCACCAATTTGCATCACGTATTCTACTTTCAATTGTTAAGAGATGCAATACAGATGCACATGTACGAGATCGGATCAGGAGATGAAACGCTCATTTCTAAGATACCCTTAACTGACGATTGCACGAACAGGATGATCATTAGAGCTCGAACAGGTTATGATCTACCTTGGTGACAAAGTACACACACACACTCGCACAATCTCACGATCACTTACTTAGTTCGTGCACAGTATGGTGATGCGGTTGTTGTTGTTGTTGTTGTTGTTGTTGGTGGTGGTGGTGGTGGTATTGCTGCGAATGTACAGGGTTGGCCCGGGAAGCTAGATGCGTATTATACCACGTATAGCCGTGCCTTGTGCTCTGTGGCAACGCTTGCTGGGACTGATGCATTCCGGAACGGGTGTAGAGGCGATCGAACACTGGCTGCGTTCCACGATCAGCCTGATTCCATGACCCCGTACGATGTTTGACGTGGCAGTTACGCGGTAGAACGGTGCGTAACGATTGCACCAAATTTTTGGACTCACAAATATCTTCCATACTATGATAGGCACCAAGTTGAGCACAGGCCAGGCATTCACGTGATAAACGAAGTGTCTGGGCCAAACTGGGATGAGGTCGAACCTTCTAATCCCCGGCGGAGTGCGGCGCGGTGGAGGATGGGGTTGGAGTTAGAAACGATGTGGGTTCATTGTGGTATGGATGACAATGGAGGTAATTTCGCGTGAACATACAACAACAAACAATACGGCAACGAACATGCACGTGTCATGTTGATCACTACAATCGGTTCTGCGGGGAAAAACGGCTCTGTTGAATCTGCTAATTTGGAACATGCATGTTCAGGGGTTACAATACACGATACGTTTTCTGTGTGTCTGTGTGTCGTATAACTGATGAAATTTATTTGATAAACTGTTCGCAACAAATTACTGTCGCTGTTTTGTACTGTTTTTTTTTAGAACGAGGTATGAAAATGAAATCATATTTAAATGTTTGACTGTCTGTCTGTGTGTGTTTTCACGATTTGGCCATACCCCTATCCTCCTGTGTGCCTAACGTTGACAGATGAGTGTACGTTAGTGGACTCGGGGTTTGGACCAGAATCGGTGCAGCAGTCAATGCACCATCAAAATTGTAATAACCAGTAGAATAGGATGGACCGGTTCCGTTATTCGGATCGGCAGTCATAAGAATGGGATTTGGTGAGGCAAACTGTAATTGGGTGGCCGTATCTAGAGAGAGAAGCAGTGGGGTACAGGAGGAAGACAATGCGTATTCCAATGATGCGTCATTGTAAAAGCTCGATGGTAAGGGACTGGTAGGCGCAGCCATCCCCGTGGGAGTTCCGGCAGCTGAATCAGCCAGTTTGATTGATACAAGCTGTTGAGTTGTTGTAGTTGTTATTGTTGGTTGATTTGATTGGTCCGAATAGGTCATAGTTGCGGTCTCCATTGACGTATTCCCACTAGTGGTGGACTGAGGTTGATGAGTGGAGAACGCGGCTAGGCCTGTGGACAGGATTTGGGTTGAACGACCACCGGGTTTCGGAGTATTCGTGTCCGGCCGATCCAGAGAACCATTTGTGGTCATCTGAAATTCCGAACTCGTTTCATGACCATTGAACACGAGAGCCGGATTCGTTATGGTGATACAGGCAGAACTGCGTGGAAGTGTGCTCCCGCCGGGCAATTCTGTCATTGCACCGGTTTTCATCTTAGCCAAACTAGATGGACTTCGTAAAGTCTGTGCGAACACGGACAGTATAAAAAATTACGATACACACGCACCGGATTGACAGATACAACAACAACATTAAGGTGAAAAAATTGTTCGAGAAACGACAGTTATCACGATTTGGACGACACGAAAACAGAAAATGGACGTTGAAGATGCGGGGATTCCAGGGGGAGAGAGAAACAAGTGGCAGTCAGGGTTACACGCCGTGGAATAGAACGGATGTTATGTCAACGTTCAAGATAAGCATAATCGAACATAAAAGACAAGTTATTCGAAAATAAACGTGATCCATGTGGCGGGGTGAAGAACAACTAGGGAAATGAACCTTAATGACTGTTTTCATTATGATTTGGTAAGAATGGGAGCACGAATGTTCAACTGGTATACGATCATTTCGTTTCGGGTGTTTCATAATCTTTTCCATCACGTTTGACTATCGAAACTCTCTCTCTGTGGTAAATATTTAAATAGAAACTATCATCACCGCCACTCCGTCGCTGCATAGTAACAGGTCCTCATGACGAGGGAGTCCATTCCGTCTGTTTTTCCTCACACAACGGTGTGTGTTAAAAGAATAAAACCACAAAGATGTTTATCAATTTCATCCCCAGTAAACCGGCATTCGTCGTTGCAATTCAGAGCTGGAAATCTAATCTTCACGCTTGGCTAGCGATAGTATACCAACTATCGTAACCTTTTGACCTCTGATTAAAACCGCGTTCACTACAGTACTCTATTGATAAGTCGAACTGTTTCTCATACGGACGAATATCATATTCGACCCCTTGTAGGCTGACTTGTACGCAGTCATCAGGTGATTTTCACACTAGGTTACGCACTATTATCACACTCACCCAGTCAGATCGCTTATTGTGTTGCCTAATAATGATGTTGCGAATAAAAACATTTCTGGTAGAAATATGCCAGACGTGGATTGTGGATATCGAAGTGATAGAAATGCAGCACATCGTCCGAGAAATCTTCCCCGGTCGTTTTGCTGTTGAAAATTTGCCTTCGGTACATGCTGTAAACCGAAAAAAACGCATATGCTTCTACTGATGACTTGGCAGTTGTCGAATCCTTTAATATGCTCAGATGTTTAAGCCTGTCGTTTGCGACAACATGCTGACCATCACCGAGAACACAGGCACACAAAGCGAATGTGGATGAAGGCCAAGTGAATAGCGTTCACGAAATTCCGTTCTTTTTTTATTAAACGTCATCGTGTTCGGTGCATTTTAAGCACGAGCCTGGGTGACTAGACGGAATTATTCTGGTGCATTGCGTTTCACCTTTGTTTTACCAACAATATTGCTGGAATAATTGAATTCGTAGCCACGAACGCACACTATCCACGGGGCACGAAACAGAGCAGAACACGAAACGCACTTCGAATGAGCTAGTACTCGCGGCGTGTGCTAATTTACTTTTAACGTGGAAAAAACAATCGACGAAATGTAGACATGAGTCACTGGTGTGTGTGTGTGTGTGTATGTGTAGGCTTGAGGAAACCTTTCCCACGAAGGATACAACCACGTTTGGGCTAAAACTCCAGCATTTTTCTTTATCATTGTGATACGATGCTGAAAAGCTGAAACGAAATCGCAATCACATTGGAATGTTTTGCATGGTCCGAATAAACTACTTTACTCAGAAGCAATGTATTTCGTTGACCAACACCCCAGATTCATCAAATTTGGTATGATAAGAAACCACCTGCTTACCGTATTGGGAAACCAAACGGTTTATTTGACTTTGTTAAACTGATTTATTAGAGATAGAAAGAAAATTTTCCACTGGGAGCGCGAAATATTGTTAACACCACTCCAAGAAATTGATGAAAATGGGCAACTGGTTACAAAAAATTGACTTATATTAAATTCATGCACACTTACTGTCAGATGCTTCATTGTTTGAAATTCCAAATAGTTCTGGTCATTGAGGATAACTATTCCCGAATCGTGAACAACATGAAATTTTTTTCGATACGTGTAAATTCACCAATGCAATGAATCTTAGAGGTTTAAATGCGGTGCAATTTCGGCCTATGGGCTGATTGACCGCAGCCTGTTTGTTTCAGTTCAACATTCATAATCCCGAGGCAAAGCGGTTTACTCAAGTCAACAGAAGAAGACTCAACTCGTTCGAACTTTTCACGCAAGATTTACTTTTCTCATTTTGTTTGAGAATCGCTAACCCATAGCCACGACCACAGATTCACCGGTTGGAAGCTATCTCACTCTGGCGCAGATCACTCCAGTGTTCAGTCTTGCGATAACTGGACATCATAACTGACATATCTGAGCCATGAGTGTCTGCATAAAATATTCACTTCTAGTATCAACTCGGGTAGTCCATAGTGAACGTTATTGCTCTCTATTGCGCAGGTTGCTTTGCTTATCTGTGTACCTCGAGAAGTAAGATGAGCTTTGAGTGACCTTTTCCACCTTGGTTGTGGGTTCGCTCAAGAATAGTATACTGTGTTTTGTTGTGTGATGACCACGTACTTTCTGGTTAGTGTACCAAGTCATTTGTTTAGCCTAATAATAGTGTTCCGTTTGCTCCACGAAAATGCACAAACCAGGCCGCTCTTGGTAATTTACTCTCTTGATTTCCGAGGTCATCCTCAATAAGACTGGTATTCTCATGTGTAATCCATCCGCGAAATCCCCATCCAAGATGAAATCCAGTAATTCATGGAAATGATGCGATGGTTCGGTTCCACACTCAGACAATTCATATCAACAATGGTTAGCTTTTTCACTATGCATGATGCGTATTGTTCAAAATAGAACAACAGTATGGAAAACACAATGAGGTCAACTGCTCACTCATCTACCCACCCACCGCCATCCCCTTGTGAACGATTTGATCCGCGTGCATGTGACCATGTGTGAGGAATTTGGTGGCCCCTGTGGTCACATTTATTTGATTTCAATTCTTCGCCTAAATGCAAGTAGTTATAGTCGGATAGTTGTCTAGCCCTTGCGGGTGAATTCGATTTCATCTAAATTTTCGCCTTGTTTGGCACTTTCTTATCCAAATTAGGCTTCGCTCATTATTAGCAAAACTTTTGAATCTACGGTATCGGTCGTAGAGACAATCGAGGTTAAGTGTTCTCAAATTCAATGACTAGATTGTTTAGATGCCCATTCACACTCTCTGTCGATCGTCGAAACGCGTACTTCAACTAGCCCTTCATTATTCGTTAGTACCGGATATCTGGAATAGATTTCTGCCTCTTTGGGGCAGTGTATGTAACGCCTGACGAATGCTAACCAGGATGTCTTCCTAACTGTACATTTTCACATGAGTAATGATACATATCTATCAGTTAAAAAACATCGGCCGATACCGGCCGTCTAACAAGCCACGGGTCCTCACAATTGAGAGATATCGATGGGAATCTGGAAACCGTTTTTCCGATAAGTCAGATGTAACTTACAAGGAAATGCACATATTCTCATTGAGCAAATGAAGAGTGAACTGGAAATGTGGGGAGCAGTGGACAGCTGCTCCGACCTGGTTGGGTCTCATCAGGAATAATGCGAATCCATCGACCCAACGTTACAGGCAGAATGCAAGCATGCTACCCACTTGACCACCGGGCAACTGATCAGACAGCTTCTCATTTTCAGTTTACATCATAAAGCACAACTCATCTTTGCGAGCTTATGACGGGCCTCGCACCTCGCTCAACTCACCAATAGCCTGCGAGTTTATGCCTCGGCTGGAAACTCCATAATCGGATTACTGATTCCTCAGTTCCTATTGCTGGTGGTGGTGGGATTCGAACGCAGGTCCTCCGGGGCGGGAAGCTAATGAGGTTTACCATTCGGCCACCAACACTCAGTGGTGTTAGAAGCCATCTTCTTCTTTATCTTTTGGTAGCGCTTTATGAGTTTCTCGAACTAAATGATTCTGAGCTAAGAATATGCCCGTTCACACGTTTACGTTATCTGATTTCACTTACTACGAGATTTAAATACACACATATTAAGGAAAAGTACATAATTTGTGCCACCAATTGATTTTGGAAATAACGCGGTAAGAGATATGAGAAACATGAGAAGTGTCTAGGAGACGGCATGTTCCCGGAAAACTGCTTTGTGTTGGGATAACCAATCAGAACAAGGGAAGGCAAACTAAGGTGATTCGTCAGAGCCGCCAACTAATCAAGACGTTTGACAACAATTCAGTCAACCAATCGTTTGATATATTTGCGTTCACATGTGTCCTCTCTCTCTGTTCCCTATAAATAACCGTGATTTTTACATAATAAATGGGATCCTACATGCGTCCGGCTGTGTTCTCTTTCTCTACCTGTGGAGCTTTTATCTGGACGAGAAAAACTTTTACCGGAAGACCATCCTTAGATAATCCAGTATCGAAAAAATCCTTTACGATTACAACAAGAACAAACACGCGTACTTTATTGTTGTAGTATGTGGTTTGGTTGTGCCCAAACTTGCCCAAAGTTTTGTTTCGGCAACCTGTGGGTTGAAAAGATATAATCTAGAAACTCACCCCTGCGTATCTAGTTGGACCTGATGATTGCCTGGGTGTATACTGATTGTATATGGTCTGTCCAGCGAACCGGGGTTGATGATGCGGGGCCAGTAATGGCTCTTTTATTGTATTGTTTGACTGGGTCCCATAGGTGGTCATCCCGTGCTGAATTCCATTCGCCTCAGATAGACCCATCTGTCTAGATGTATTCATTTCAATCGGTGAGCCCATGGGGAATGCCCCGTGATCGAGTGTGCTTGAACTGTGATATGAGTGACTCAACGTGTAACCGGTCACGTGCTGATTGTTTGATGTATGCCCAAAGTCTGGGACCAGATTCATCAGCATCGGGTCGGGATTGCCATGCATTGAGGATTGTTGATGAAACTTTGCTGCAGCTTGTTGTTGAGACTGTTGTTGTTGCTGCTGCTGCTGTTGTTGTTGCAATAGATGAGATCCGCGGTCTGGACCGACCGCGTTGGTGTTTGGGCTGTATAAGTGACCAGGATGTCCGTTTGGACGAGGGAATGTTTCGAAGGAATCTGCTTTCACGTAACCTGTAAGTAAGTAAGTAAGTAAGGGAGAAAAGGCGAACAAGAAAGGAATTTTCAAATAGTCAAATAAGACGATCGCAAATGCGATTCGCCACTGGTGAATTGTATGCACCACAAAAAGTTGGACAGGTTTGAGACGTGTCAGATGCGAGTTCTCAGCTAGGGAGTAAATGGATTGCCGAGAACAGAATCCCGGACTTAATGATTTGTGCTTGTATGCATCCGACGGGGCTGCAAGTGAAATAATTATTTATTTCATCGTAACCATCGTAAATTTCAAGAAATCGTGCATGAAGGCTATGTTTTAGTGAAAGGGGCAGTGTTCTTCCGACCACTTAGTCCTGTATTGGCAAACAGCTGTGAACTCAATGGTACGGCCCATTTGGCTACCAGTATTGTGTTTCATAACAGCCAGCACTGCACCCAGTTCATGTGTGTACCAGTGTGTGTGTGTGTGTGTGTGTGTATGTGCGGCGTGCATGCGTGTGCATTTGACGCTGTTCCTGTTTGATGCGACATCCGTGCGAATACGGGGTTGGTTCAATTTTTCGCCCATTCCTGGCACGTCCACGTAGAATTATGTGATTTGATAAGGATATCTGTTCGGTTGTGTTGGCCTGATAGCCCCGTGTCGTGTACGCGTGAGAACATCCGGTTTTGCGGTCCGGAAGATCGAATCGAATCTCAAAGGACTTTCCAGGGATGAAGAAAGATAGAGACTGGGAAATTTGCGACTATCGGTATATTGTATATGCTGTTCCGTTCCCTGCCGTGGTTCTGTTCAAGAATATTCAGTACACTGGCTCATTCATGTGAGAGAACCTCCAAAAGGGTAGCAATCAATTCCGTGGAATTAATACGCCCTTTGCGTGACGGAATTCCATGAACTCACCTTGGCCTAGATAAGAAAGAACGTAAATATTGAGTACTGTGGGTTTCAGTCGGTTTCGGCAAAACGTACCGGTGCATCAAACTCGACGAGAGTTACATTGACTGTATTTTGAAAAACTTGTTTTGTCCATAATAACCGAATACACACCACGTGCTGTGTGCTCAAAACAAGCGGCTTTCACTACATATAATGAATCTAACATACATTTTGATATCTGACTCCAGTTGGAATCTGTTTTGATTGTCCCACACTTCAAATTGGGTGTGCACCCCCGGACACAGCATCTGTCAAGCCCAATCACAGGCAAATTTGTCAAGCTGAAGTTTCGACTAATGTTGTGCTCGTTCATTCGCCAGCTGGAACAAAGTAAACCTCCTACAGGTTGTTGCTTACTGCTCTCTCTCTCTCTCTCTCCCACCCTCCGGGCCACGTTACTCGTTGCCGTGATCCCAACGATAAGGCGAAAGTCATTCACTCTATAGTTTGTTCGGTCACGTGTCACGTGTACTTCTGTTGACTCGTCAACTATGTACCCCAGCTCACGTGACTCTACGAGATATCCGTATATCTATAGTCCTCAAGTAACAGTATGCCCACCTGTACGCTCCTCAACCGTTCCCCAAATTTTACACTTTATTCTACAGTTGCAGATCTCGCAATGAAAATTAGTGTGAATCAAAATTTCACTTGTATATAGAACAATAAATGAAATGGTAATACGGCTTAGAGTTTAGGCTTTTATACCGATGGTTGTTCAGTAGGCTGAGGTCCTTTCAGCACTTGCTTCTTAATGTGTCTAATCTCTTCATTATTAGTAATAACACGGTTAGTGTTACTATTTCATGAATATAACTACAGGCTGTGGTAATGAAACATCTATAAGAAAACAACCATTTGATGTACTCATAACTGAATACCTCAGAGAAAAATGTGAAGTTGTTTGTATGAATAACAAATAGATAGATAAATGAATACGGTCTGCATTCTGTTAATCACATCGTTCTGAAGTCTATTTCATATCGGAGAGAAGTTATCGTCTACCAACGGTTGCTCGACAAAACCCAAATGGATAAGGTGGTAGAGTAGATGCTGATATTTTCCTAGGCTCCTTGGTATTGACTGTCAATTGCACGTTACCACTGAACACACACACCGTAAAAACCCCCGGGATTCGAACCGGGATGATGGATGATGAAATACACGCTCCATACTGAACAGTGCATTATTATCTATCGAGTATAAATCTTCCAGTTTTGTTCAAACATAGTAAAATTCTAAGAAAAATTAAACTATGACCTTGATAAAATTGACAGTGAGAGTCAGGGAACTGTTGTGGTCCACAAGTGAATGAGTGATATGTTCACCGCGCTTGCCTATGGCCGGATTAATTGATTGAATGATTGATTGACAGATGCTGTAAACCGCCACACACGCACGTACTCGCCCCATGTGGACTAACTTTACTACAATATAGATCGGTTCCAGCCAATTGAGTATAGAACTGTCCTCATTGAAGGATTCGTTAACTGTTTGAATGCCGTCTTGACCGCATTCGGACGTCGTGTGACACTTGAGCCAGTTACCGGCCTACCTGCCTACCTGACTCCCTATGTGTTGCCCGTTTCCGCTTGCTCACCGGCTACATGTATGCTCTCTACCATAAACGTACTGCTTAATTCATTGCGTTCTTATCTACTTAAAACTACTTAAACTGGTACACAACAGGAGTGAGCACCCTTTGTCAGTGATTCACAATCATGGTGACCTGATGGATAGGTGTTCCCGAAATGAAAACTATTCCCTCAGTTTTGAGGTCGTTCATCTGAAACAATCAATGCGGGTTGATGCGTTTGTATGCGTGTGATGAGTTTGTTAGTTCATGTGACTTTCCATCGCCTGGGACCATTGACACATTACGTTCCATCATGATGTGCACAGTTGAAACATTTGAACAGGCCCCGTGTAGCGCATCCACTCACGAGTCCACTAATGAATGATCCACTTGATGTTTATGGATGCAGATTTGGAGACCGTACACGTGACGGTGAACAACCTTCAAGGTTTCGGTGTTTTCGTTCAACGCGTTTAGTCCCTAATTCGTGTAAATCCATTCCATCCGTTGAAAACTAGTCAGCTTTAAAAAAAACGATGGGAACACATATTGGCAAACAAGCTCGTGTTCATTGTCTTAATGATTATTTCCTTCTATCTGTTCGCGCGTCTTTCTGTCACCCTACTGCATAGCGAGTGATTCTTCTAATGCTACTACAAAGCTGAACGACCTGTGTTGACCTCATCTATGATTGTTTGCCAATTGAAGTGCACCTGTGGTGTGACTTACGTCGGTCGACACGGCAGTTACATATAAGTTGTAATTTTGAAAACACAGCAATGTCGGTACAGTTATCTCAACAGATCAAAAAATACGATCCACGCTGGCTCGCACAGGTTGGGAGTGGAGCTGTGTCACGCTCGATCGTTGCTCATCTAGCAGAGACGGGACACTTGACATGCCTTCGGTATATACAATCATTTATCGAGTCTCACCACACCCCTCGAGAGCCATGCGGTTTCGGACTTTAGCAACCGAGGAAGTGATTAGCATCGGACTCATGAAGCCTAAACTGTGCGCACAACGCAAAATGATTCAAGCTCTCAAACTCCCTTGGCCAAGGAAAGAGAAAATCGCTTATTCACATGACTTTAACGCAACGCCACGACGTAACACCATGACGTAACCATGCCGTAATGGTTGTGATCCAAACAGCGCACAAATTAGGAGTTCTCTTGGGCTTATTGCCAAACACGTGACTCCTTCACCTTCCTGTTTAACCCTATTGAAATCGTTTCATATAAATGTGATTATAATGGCTTGAAAAGAATTTCACGGAAAACATGTTCGCCTACATTGTGCGTTCTTAATCAATGGGCATATTTCGTGATTCTTTTGTTGTTCAGTGTCAGAGGTAGGCCAACTTGAAAGCTATACACTCAATAAGATCACGTCACATCACATCACATCAGTCCGTACGATCTTGGTCACTGATCTTCGTCATTCGGCGCGAACCGGTCTATAATACTGAAGTCGATTAAGCCGTTTGAGTTCATTTCACAATTTGATCAATGATCGTATGTTGCAATCTCACCAGCCCGCTTGATGTACACCCTTTTGCTTGGACTGCACATCTTGATAACCGTCAAACTACTTGCTCGAAATCCGTCAAACTATGACCGACTGCCCCATTAAGATCAAGCAGTGCTAGTTGTTTTGATGAGAGCGCTCTAACACCGGATACTATTGATAAGTGCACTGGATATATTTACATTTGGCAAATGCTGACATCCGTGGCTCCCCTGTTACATTCGGCTGTTTGTAAGAGGTCGAAAATATAACATAACAACTCCACCAGAGCTGTTTTATTCTGTAGAGACTTGACAATTAAACATTTGGATCCCGTGATGAATTTGAACAGGCAAGTCAGAAGATAAACACTGCGAGAGGAATTCCTTTCGTATACTCTCATCGGTCGCGTACGTCTAGTCAAACAACTGCTCTCCACCTCCATACATCATTTTTACTTCTTACATCTGTGATGAAATAGATTGATTGCCTCGGCATCTAATTTTTTTCGAGGAAGTTAGTGGTTTGGACAAGGTTAACTGCGGTGAAATTAACACAGTATGAGGGTATGAAAACCCTGATCAAAAGATTTGGACATATAGGTTACGTTAAGTGCCTTGGTTGAGGGCCTCCGGATCAGTGTGCGTATTCGATGGTCGGATATATTGAGCGATACGGATGAGTGTTGTAAGCCATTGTACTTGAGCGTCTTTACAAACTCGTTTCACAGTGACACTACGTTCTACATTCTAATGCTCGCTCTACTTCTTTTAAATGGGAATCCTAAAGACGGCAACAAAAACCGCCTCACGAAATTGCCTGGTTACTGGTTGTGGACATAGAAACTATTTGCACAATCACGTGACACATGACCACGTTGTACCAAAACTTACTGGAATTGGTTGGTTTATGACGACTGTCCGTACAACACATACAGCCCCCGGCCGAGTCGGATATGAACGAGGCGGTGATTGGGTCCTCGGACGATTTGAACATGTGTTTGGGATCCGCGGACCCCGTATGATCAAACGGATGATTCGGGCGTACCATGGCGAACCCGTTTGTCATGGTCAAATTCGACGCCTCGTCCGTGTGTAGTTTACGTTGTCGGACTAGCTGGCGGCGTTGACGTCTACGTTTCAGCAGGAATGTGATCACAATCAGGTTGATGACAAAAACGACAAAACCGAACACA